CCTGTGTTGTCGCCTTGCCTCAGGGACCTGCCAAACAGAAAGCCATGCCTGAGCACCTGGCTTCTGCACCTCATTGCTCCAAGGTCGACAGGCTTTGCGGCTGCTGAACGTGTGCGTCTCCGTGAATGCATGCTCGGCACTGCCCGGTCAGGCCGAGCTGGGGCTCCCTTCTACTCACTCCTGCCTCCACTGAAAGTACGGCTTTGTTTCTGGAAGCCGTGGGCAGGAGGAGACTGTGGAGTCGTTCTTTGCTCAACACCATGACCCGAGGCTTAGGGGTCTGGCGGCGAGGGGAGGCTCCAAGGGCCGAGGTCGTGAGGGAGAATGAGAGCAGGGAGAAGGTGTTGGTGGTGACAGAGCGGAAGTGTGGTGGGACCGCGAGTGCTGGCATCTGAGCAGGGACCCTGGGTGGCCACCCCTACCTGAAGGCTGTCGTTGCACATCCAAGGAAATTGGGGCCAATGCTGGTGTCCTTGAGAAGGCGGTTGAGCTGGCAACGAGAAAGGTTTGTGATGAGAAGCCTGCTTGCATCGCTGGATACTTTCCAGAGCCAGTGTCAGGCAAGCTCCCCTTCCGGCCTTGGCAGCGTTGCAGGTTACGTACCAAGGTGGTCATGACCCTCTGGGTGCTGTTGAGCTTTGCCGAGTGAGGAACGTGCAGGTCGGAATCGTAGGGGAGATTGGTGATGGTGAAGTTGACGGTGAAACGCTCGAGGCCTGGAGGTGTGGTTGGTGGCCGAGTGGGAGCTGCAAGAAGCACAGATGGGGAGTGAGAGGGTGCGGGAGGACGGCTGTGAAGGCTGTGGGAGGGCCAAGGCAGTGGTGCCTGGCCAGCTATTTCTCCTCCCCAGCCGTCGCTGTGATGGCAACGTCTGGCGGGTTCTGCACTTGTCCCAGGCTTCACGAGCTCATGGGACGAGAGGCCCCGCGAGGCACCCGTTGCCTTTTGGGTGCATCCTGCCCCAGTGTGGTACTCACTGGGCGTCACTGGCCGCATCACTGGCTGTTCGTTGTAACCTGGAATGAGAGAGAGAGAGAGACATGAGCTGGAGCTCCGTGGGGGGAAGGTGGAGGGCCAGAGGGAGGCAGCAGGAGAGGCCTTGCTCACCGTTGACGTAGAGGCTGGTCCTGTCCAGGCTGTAGGGGCCCAGGCGCGTGACGGCTCTGGTCTTGTTGCTCACTTCGTGGTAAAGGCCCACCCTGTCCAAGTCAGGGCTGGAGGGCTCCTTCCTGTAGCTGCAGACGAGGTCCACGCCTGTGTTGTCGCCTTGCCTCAGGGACCTGCCAAACAGAAAGCCATGCCTGAGCACCTGGCTTCTGCACCTCATTGCTCCAAGGTCGACAGGCTTTGCGGCTGCTGAACGTGTGCGTCTCCGTGAATGCATGCTCGGCACTGCCCGGTCAGGCCGAGCTGGGGCTCCCTTCTACTCACTCCTGCCTCCACTGAAAGTACGGCTTTGTTTCTGGAAGCCGTGGGCAGGAGGAGACTGTGGAGTCGTTCTTTGCTCAACACCATGACCCGAGGCTTAGGGGTCTGGCGGCGAGGGGAGGCTCCAAGGGCCG